TCTCAAATTTTACAGTAAATCAATTCTCATTTTCAATCACACATTCTTCAATAAAATAATATTTTCCATCACATCAATAATTTTTTCTTCTTTTTCAACCACACATTTCCCATCATATCACTATTCAAAAATCAATTCTTTTCCCAAAATTCTCTACCAAACACACTCCTAGAAAAAATTATCTAGCGGCTGAGATTGCGTGTATTATTTGGAGTTTAGGGATTTTAATTATTTTTGAAAAAAAATGAATAATGCTGAAGACTGCCAATTGGCACTGTTTGTATGGCACCACACCAGCATTGCTACACTTAGACATCTTGGTAAACAACCCTCTTACATGTGTTGGGATCCCACATTAACATTGCTACACGTAGATATCTTGGTACACAACCATCTTACATGTGTGTGAGATTACCCTCTTACATGTGTGTGGATCCCACAATACACATGTAAGAGGGTTGTGTACTATGTGTATACAAGTAGTATTTTTGGACACCACATAAATAGGCAGTTGGATTAACAGAATAAAAAATAGGAACCTCATAAAATTAATAAATTTTAAGAAATATACAATTTTTAAATAAATTTCATATAGTGAAACTTTTAAATTAATTGTATATTTCACATCATTATGTATTTGATTAAACTTGTAAAATGTAACACAATTAAGTCGATAAGACATACTAGTCTAAAGGAATTAAGCAAACGTCGAATCCAAAGTTTAACTTTCTTTTTATAGTATGAATCTGTTTTGAGATGTTCATTTTGAAATTTTAACGATGAACTCATGTATTGTATCAATTTGTTATATTTTTTGCCAACGTGTTTTATTTTTCATTTGTCAACCATTCTTTTTCCTTGTGGTCCCAAACTTGATAGATGTTTTCGCTTTTTGAAAAATTATTTCCAATCGTTATTTCTCAATTTATGAAGGATTTGTTTTGTAGTAGAAACAAATATCAAAGCAATCAAGATGTGTTGGGATCTTTTTAAAAGTTTCTACAAAAATACACCAATGATTTTTCATAATTCTATTCATGAAATGCAAGATAAGCACAAATTTAGAACTTGGCAACTTTTTGAAAGCGCTATGAGTTTCATTCAGAGATATTCCTTGTGGACAATAGTTACAAGGATCGTGCTACATACACGTTGGTTTACACCTTAATGAGTTGACATATTTTGGTGCATTAGTTTTAACAATATTTTTTAATGCATGACCAGCTTTATGAGGGTGTAGAGAATAGGTGTACAAGTAGATTAATTCTAACCACAAATTTATTGAAGAACTTTGTGAGTTGCACCGTACATATCTATTAAGTTCTTTATAAATTCAATGAAAGTGCCAACGAGTAGCTCCTTATCATTGCAAATTAACCATTCGCTTGGCCCCACTTCTAGACTCACGATCTTCAGCAGCCAACATAAGTTGAATTTCCTATCTCTAATAAGTTTGCGACTCTATAACTCGTTTTGGAGAAGAAGTTACAGTATTGACGACATTGCTAAAATGAGAAAAAAAAAAAAAAAAGTTCCAAATGACATGGACTGATGGACATGCTGAGCTACATAAACCAATTATCAACTGTAATTGAAAGCAAAATAATGGAGGTAATCCTCATGATGAGAATCTTTGAAAATAATGCTTGAAGTCCATTTCAAGTACCACACATATCACTATTATACCCTTGGTCTCTCATTTTGTCTGAGCGAGAACATCATATATCTTCGTTTTGAAATTTGATGATGTGGCGTCACTAACCCTTTTGATTGCAACTCATCCTATCCTTGGATATTCCTTGAGCTTTAGTTGATCACCTAGCTTTTAGATATGAGATTCTAATATTATCTCGTCGAATGACATGATATTCAGACTTTTGCTTTCTTTTCCCAGGTCCTATTCAATACTGAATAATGTTAGTTGTACACAAAGAGTTATATAATGATCTACATATAGATGATATGTCAAAAGAGTGTGGAAAATTTTTTTTTTTATTTGATTGAAGAAATTTTGACTCAATCATATCTCACGACATCATGTATATGTAAATCATTATATACATGTAACACAATTGTTCAATACTGGTATATAATTGTAATTTAGGAGTTAAGATTGAATGATGTTCAAATTTTGGAGATGAAATTGGAGGATGTTGCACAATAGAATTGGAAGTTAATTTTTGGTCAATCCATCATGAAGTGCACTTTCACTAGATTGACATGTCTTATCGATGAAGAAAATTGAAAAATGTACATACTGATACTCCAATTCTAAATATCCTTTTACAAAAACGACAAGGTGTGAATTGAAATTACTCGCGATTTTGGAGATACTACTTTCTTCTTGAATAATCTTGTCCAACTTCTCCAATCTCAAAGTTATTTACAAGTGGAAACACAAATCCATCAAACAATAAATCAAATTTCAAGAGGTGAGGGCTTGGCCGTGAAATGATTGACCACGAAAGTTTGAATTTGTGGGGGCGAGAAAATGCGAAAGGGTTGTAGGCAATGAAGGTAGTAATGGACCACCGGAGGCGGGTTATTGTTTTAAGGTTGGGGAGGAAATTAGGGCACAATTGGGAGAATCAGCTTGAGAAGATTGGGTTTAGGTTTAAGCTTGGGTTGGGAGCGATTATAAGATTTTGGGGGTTTCAATTAGGTTTAGGTTTAGGGCTTGGCATTTGTACCAACCAATTTGTATAACAAATAGGTTGGAATATTTTCTTACACGAGCTACTTATTAAAAAATGTGAAAATTTTTAAATTCCAACTTCAAAAATCAAGTTTAAGGTTTGCTTATACAAAAATCAGGCGATAATTCCACATTTTAATATTAATAATAATATTATAAAATTAAATTAATCTATGTACCTACCATATCTCCATCCACCCCCCAAACCTTAATTCTCATCTCCCTTCTCTCTTCTTTCTCTATATCGCACACCATCACTGGAGGCACCGCCGAAGTGGCGCTTAGCAATTCACGACGTCATCAGCACGATGACATTGTTCTAAAAGCAGAAAGCCACTGCGAAGCGGCGCTGCAAGCATCGAGCGATGCCGCAATAGCAACTACAATGATTTAATGACGGAGAAGCAAATCTTATCTAATCAATGTGTGTTAATCATTCTATGGAAATGCAAATCATCAATTTTAGCGATGAGAAACAAATATTCGATCAGTGTAAGTTAATGTCAATGACCAAATCGATCTAACGACAAAGGAGAATCAAGTCTTCTATTGTCTTCTTGAAGTTCTACGCCACTTCAATCTCCAAACCTAGCTTCATGTTGCGGATTGGGATAAGGTAGTGGCACATCAATAGCTGCTTCTCCGATGGTTCCACTACCAAGACCTCGGTGTAGTGCAATGGCGGCCATCATCAACAGTCGCTTATTTGAAATTTTACTTATTTTCAATGTTAGGTTGTTAATGGAGAGATTCGGTTTATGAAGATCAATGCCCTCTTATTTTGGATATGATTTTGAGATGGTTGTGCAGTGATTTCGAGTGGTGTTTGCAGTTGGTGGTGGTTGTGCTAGTTGTGGCAGTGAGGTGGCTGTGCTGGTGAGCTGGTGGCGATGTTGGCGGTGCTAGTAAGATTGTGTTAGTGGCGGTGGTGGCAGTGTTCACAAATGATAGTGGTGGTACGATAGTAGTGGTA